ATTAGCACTTTGTTTTGCTTCTGAAAAATCATTCGGAACATACTGATTATACTTGACGCTAGTTGTTTTGATTTGATTGAGCCTCTCGGATCGTCTTAATGGTATTTCATTTCCATATTTATTACTTTTTTCCATAGCTATCAGATTGTTTGGACTTTACTCCCCCTGTCATCACCCCCGCTACAACGGCTTATGTCAGCCGATTTCGAAATTCGATGAGTCATCATATTCGCTTGCTTTGAGTATTTTCCGTAACAACCAATTCGAGGTGTGGTTTTTGATCTACTTCGTTTCCCCTTTCTTTCTAATTCTTCAATTTCTCCCCAAGTTTCTAAGGTTTTATTTTTTCCTCATATAATTACTACCTTTTAAAGATTCGTTAAATTTTAACTGATCGTTCTTGAATTATTTTGTTACTTGCTATATCATAAATACGATATCCTTTTCTTTCTCTAGCATATCCTAACATTATCCCTCTTTTCCCTGGTATGTCAAATTTGTTTCGCATCACTTTCAGAATGTGAAAGTATGCCACACATCCAAACCTTTTTAGATAGTTTAATTTGGGTTTTTTACCAGTCCAAATTTCTAAAGGAATTTTTTCTTTTCCTTTCCAGGGTGTTAAATTTGATACTTGAGTACTAAAATTAATTGCTTCTGCCCAGAATTTTACCGGAAGCTCACTCTCATGTAGTAATGTCCTAGCTCTTTCTAAAAGAACTCTGTTTGCTCGTTCAGCTTTTCCATTACTCTCACTGTTATATGGAATTGTTTTTTCATGAAAAATACCTGAATTAACAAGATAATTATCTAATTGTTCATTTACAAATTCTAAACCATCGTCTGTTCTCAAACGTTTTAATTCTTTTACCAGTTAAATTTTTCATACTTAGCTTTAAATTTACAAAAAAGCGTCAATCAAGTACACTTCACTTTCTACTTTTAAGAAAATAAGTAAAATACATTCCAGAAAAATCATCCACTAAGATCATAAAATATTTAGACCCACCAATTGATTCAGTTTGAACAGGGCCACATAGATCCGAATGAATTAATTCTAAAATTTCTGAACTCTGATTAATGTCAATATTTGGATGACTTTTTCTAGTTATTTTACTTATGTCACAAGTTTCACACTTAAAATCACTTACATCATTAATATCAATGTATTCTTTCATTTTAAGCATATATTTTGGATTTAAATGGCACAATCTACTATGCCAAAGCTCATAATTATTACCAGTACAATCATTAGCAATGCAAGATTCAGAATTATAACATGGTTCTAAATTAACTTCAAGCCTACCGTTATTCTTAAATGCTTTAAAAAGTAATTCATTACACCTACTAAAAAACTAATACAGATTTATTCTTTGATTCAATTTTACATCCTTTATCCATTAAGGCAGTGAGTGACAATAAGTTATTTCTTAAATCAGGAATATAACTAACATTACTAATAGTTAAATTAATAAAACTAGAATTCTTTGTATTTATAGCTTTTGCTTTAACAGTACCAATACCTTCTGAATATATTTTTGAATGTTTACCTGCCTGGTAAATTTCCCTCACCTCTGGTGTAATATTCTGAAACCAAAAGAAGTCTTTTGCCATGTGTCCGGTTGCACCACTATCCAGCAACCAAATTTTATCACATTCATAATTTTTTCCACGCGTAAGTTGAAGAGCAAAATCACTTTCTCTTTCATCAGAACGAGATGAAACGTTCACACTCGTAGGTTGTAACTTCATTCTTTCCTTGTTACCTTTGGATAACTCACTTTTTGGATTCTTGTTTCTGTAATAGCAGTCCTTCGCGATGTGACCAGGCCGTCGGCAAATGTAACAAATTCTTGGCTTATAGTTTTTATTCCTTCTTGATATGAACGCCTCTGCGTTGTTTCCATCAGGTCGTTTCCCATTCATTGAATTGTGAACGGACTCTTCCTCACGGAGTATTTCGAGTACTTCATCAATTGTTTTTTCACGCTGAGTTTTTACAATTTCCCTAATTCGAGAGAACTTCCCACGAAGTCCACGGACTGTGTAAAACACCAGTTCCCGAGGAGATACATTTAGTCCTAGCGATTGACACTTAGTTGCTATTCCTCTCGCTCTAGCGATATAATCATTAGCCGACTCATGCAACTTCATTTCTAAATTTTTTAACTCATTACCAGCATCTATTTTTCGATCTTCAGCTTGTCCCGTAAATGTTGACTTTATTTTTTCCCAAAGAATTTTTGCATTCTCTTCTGTGGAGAACTGAAGCGCCTGTTGATCCGATAGTGAAAGTTTTATATATGCTACGGCGTCAGCGTTTTTCTCATTCCACAATCTTTCATCTTTCTCGTCTAAATTTTCTGGTTTTACTGTTGAAATTACCGAGTCAAGTCTTTTCAGTGATAAGGAAGCTTTAATTTTCAATGACCAAATAAAATAGTTCTCTCCAGTTAATTCGGGAACGTTCCACTTCTCCAGTTTTTGGCTTCCACTAAGGACAGTTTCGGTTTCGACTTGGTCTCTTATATCCAATTCTTCTTGAAAAAACCACGGAGCCTGCTACCATTTGTTGTTCAGAGGCCCAATATTTAGAGTAAAGAAGCCATCGTAGGACAAGTCACTTTATTTACATGAATAATGAATAAAAATATCACACAGGAAATCATATTGAGCATCACACAGCAAACAACATATCAGCATCTCCCTACGCTCGAAGGACGGATGTGTCGGTAGAAGAGACAGCTGCGCCATCATAATTAATACGCATGCGCATAAGAAAAAACGTTCGCTCGCCTCTACCCAACACAAATCTTTTCTAGATCAGGTTACCCTAAGGAAATCCAGTGTGATTTGGGTAGATTGTTCAGAAGTGAACTTACATCTGAGTTTTTTAGTACGATCGGAATTAAGGTGTATCATTCTTCTGTGTGTCACCCTCAAAGCAATTCTGTTGAAAGGTTGCATTTCACCTTGAAAAGGGTATTGAAGGCTTTGTGCTTAGAAAGTGGGAAGGACTGGGAAGAATGTTTGCCATGTGCTTTGTTCGCCCTCAGAACTGTTAGCCATGTTAGCCTGTTAGCACAGGTTTTAGTCCCTGTGTGTTAGTCTCGAAAAAAATTTGAGAACGCCCCAAACGATTGTGTATTAAAACTGGTTAGAAAAAGAAAGTTCAGAACCCACTGCGGTCGAGTATGTTCTAGACTTGGTAAACAGATCAAAGAAGTATCAGGAGCTGGTTGTAGAGAGGATGAAAGAGTGTCAAAGTAAAAGGAAACTCTGGTATGATCGCAACGCTGTTACGAGAAGGTTTAAGGTCGAAGATGTCGTGCTTGTTTTAGCCACGTCTAAACCAAATAAAATGGTTATAAACTGGATAGAGCCAGTTAAAGTAACTAGTGTGATTTTCGAAACCAATTATTTGGAGAGATTCTGGATAATAATTCCATTTGTCATGAACCTTATCATCAGTGCCCTGAGTTTGTAAATCTCATGATGAAGGATATCGAGGGAGAAGTTGATATTCCTTACCTTTTGGCTGATTCAATGCACACTGATTCTAAGAAAAAGATAGTTGTAAAAGATTTTTGTAGCATTTTGGAATTATACTTTTGTAGATTCAAAATTGTTTGCATCGTGTATTTCATTCTCAAGATGGTTAGAATTAAATGTTTTATCTTAAGTATTAGCATTTTGTAAAATTTGAGGAATGTACTTTGTATGAGGCAGACATTAAGAGTAGTTTAAATTATTTTTGTTGCATTCTTGTTTTTATGCTTATCTGTCTCAAGGTGATGTTATCTAGAAATAAGTGCAGGGTAATATAAATGGCTTCTCTATTATCACTTAATTGGTTACCACTTGTGTTTTGAAAGCAGTGAAAAGTATTTAGAATTTTTCCTTCCATAGTCTAGGAAAATTCTTCTATGAGGAGAGGAGTTGTGATAAGGTGGCATAAAGTTTCATTGTCTAGGATGAGTAAATTCAGAGTGTAATAGTTTTCATATCTGGGGTGAAATCTTGTGCCTTTGTTAATGATTCCGGTTGCAGTCTCGTGGGTCACTCCAATGGACAAAGAGGTAAAAGAAGTCTTTTCATCAGGATCATGAGATGGATACTATGTTATGTATGAGTGAAAGAATCTTTCCCCTTTGGAAGTTCAGCGCAAGTAAACACAGGGAGATATATAAGGTGGTATCCTGAAAAGTGAGAAAATTTTTCCTGTTTAGAGCTATGGGCATGTTGGCTGCTAAGAACGATAATTTCTCGTGTATAATGCGTTAGAGCATTTTTTCTGTAACAAAATTCTGAAATTACAGGACTAAATGTATCCAAGTCCCACACTGTCAAGAATCGCAACTATTAATGTTTTTATCTTATTAAAATTCATGTTACTGTTAGAACTTGAGTTTGAAGTTCATTTCAACCCTGCATCATAACTTGGGGTTTGTGCAGCGGTTTTGACCACTACACCACACAATCAATCTAAACAAGTTACACTTTTCAAATCACTTAATATTTATCCACAGTAGTTCGTCCTTCTGAAAATAAAAATGTGAGACTTCTCGTAGTCAAAGTCAGTTCAGTAAATATCTGAAGCTGTAACCTGATTCGCTGATCTGAGTTTATAGTTATCCATGCAAGATCAAATCTGAAAAACAATTGCCTTAACCATTTCTTTTACCTATTTACAACGGAGTTAAATTATTTCAATTAAATGTCTGAATAATTTTTTTTAATTTAATATTAGACAAACACAACCATGTAACAATAACAATTTTCCAATTCTTTATTTATTTAAAGCTTGAAATTTTAAAAAACAACTTGAAATTTACATAATACTATAGACACTTTAAATACTTATTTGCAAACAAAAGTTATTAAATATTAAAAATACAATTATGTTTAATAACATGAATAAAATCTGCATATAATTATAATAATGCAAAAGCGCTGTATTTAGATATCGAGAACTCTGCATAATATTACAAACTACCAACCTTCCAGGTTTGCTAATGTAATTTTGTAGTCTAGCTTTCACTTCATCATATGTAAGAAAAGCTACATAACCTGGATGTGTAACAGCTAGAATCTGCCAGTTTCGTAATAGAGTAGACCAAGGCTGAAACAATCTGAACAAAAAATAAATAAATGAATGCATAGAAAATGTACAAAAAAATAGCATAAAATAAGCTTTTCACAGAATATATTTTTTCTAGCAAAATACATAACTGCTCCTCATTATCTACAAGCTGCATTTTTTATCCATATAAAAATTACATCTCTTATAAAAAAAATGTAGAAAAACAACTGCAAAAATAATTTTTTGAATCATTTCTTTTGTATGTAACATACAATGTAAACACATTTTATCAGGTACAAATATCAACATATTCATAAAAAAGTTGCGTATAATGTCATATTTAAAAAAATATTTTATTTGCATACTATATAGTTAGTTTAGCTCTGGTAAGACACATTACCGCTTTCTTACAAAACCCTAGAATTTGTTTTATACTATAATGAGTAAATTAACATTCACTAAAAGCTATAATTATTCCAGTAATACGGAAAATAAATAAATTTCATAAAGCATTTAGGCATTTTATTTTCCTTTCCATGGCTCTATTTAAACACCACAGTTTATGAGATAGTGATATATAAATCAGTATTAATTTAGTAGTCAAACAACAGAAATCAGCGCTATATTTGCAAATTTTCACAGGAATAGTTTTGATGGTTTTACCGAACCATCATCCTCAACTGCCAAAGCGCAAATGAGCAAGTAAAATATAGTGATAACATTAGAATAGCTGGATGGGAGTTAAGCTATTGCACCATCTATTGAGGAAACAAAAGATTATGCTTTAGTTTCATTAATAAATGGTACCCAGTAGATTAATTCCCAACCAGCCATTCTTATCACTATATCTTATATCCTTCATTTGCACTTTGGCAGCTGAGAATGATGGTTCCGTAAAATCACCAAAACTAGTCCTGTGAAAATTTGAAAATATAATGCTGATTTTTGTTGTTTTACTTCTAAATTAAATATCTTACACTTTGTCAAGTGACAACATATTTCATTTAACCACTTAGCTCAATAAATTTCAGAAATTAGTCATAAAATTTATTTTTTAAATACTGAAAAGATATAGTGATTAGATAAGATAAGAATGGCTGGACTGGCTGGACAAGATCTACTGGTGCCATATATTGATGAAATAAGAACTAAAACATAATTTCCTGAAGGCAAAGATGGATTGGAATTAGGGTCACTAACTAGAATAGAAAGATTTTTTTTTTTTTTTTAAATCTGAAACACCTCTAGAAAATCTAATTCACCAATGGAAGATGTTTTTTGAATAATTTTGGTTGCAGAAAAATTGAAGTGCGATTTTCAAACCAACAATGCTGGGCAACAGAAGACTTCTGTGTTTCCTTTTTTCTAACATATGCCTCATGTTCTTTAACACGAAATTTAAATCTCTTAATTTTAAGGCTCTCTTCGGTAAAACCATTGAAACTAGTCCTGTGAAAATTTGCAAATACAACACTGATTTTTGTTGTTTGACTTCTAAATTAATACTTGTTCGGCGTGTTATTTTATCTTAATTATATAAATCAGTTACTAAACTCTCTATTAGAAATATAAATTTTACCCTACTAAAAAAATCGATTATAATTTTCACAGGTTATAGTAAATTAAGGGATTTACTTCTATTAAACAACTAAGAAGGAGAATTAACAAACTGAAAAATTTAACACGAAGTTAATTTCCTTAAACTGGAGCAGGTACACCGCCTCAAAGAAAGGAGAGGGGGACATTTCTCTATCTCTTGCTCTACTCAGCTGATTCACGAAATTCATCTGACACTTTTGAAACTGTGACTTATATTATATATTGGATTTATGATATATATTAGATTTAAATATAATATTGTTCTAAAATACATATTTTCATGCAAAGTTCACAAAACTGGCCTTTTCTGAAATGTCAATTTTTTTTTTCTATATTTCGATTCTACCTCTCAAATTATGCTACACTTCCAAGTTTCATAAAAAAACTGTAGCAACAGTTTTTTCCCCTCATATTAGGAGTCAAAATTTTCACCACACTAAGTTAATTCAATCTCATAAATTAAATAATATCGAATATTAAAAATAAGCTTACTTAAATTATTCTTTTACACTTCAAAATTTAGGTTTAATCCAAATAGAATTTACACACTTTTTCTGACTAATTTTTAAAATTTGTATTTTTACATAGCTTTTACAATTTTTTGAAAACAATATTGAAATATAACCCATAAAGTTTTTACTATCATCAAGAAGCAGGTATATTTCTAGGCATACTTGCAAAATATAGTTTTTTTATGTAAAATTTCTCAAGACATACATGAATTTATATATTTGCACACTTTGAAATTTGACACAATTGCTACGAGCAATAATAATGCCAAATGTGACTTTGGTACTTTGTAACAATCTTCAGTGAACTGTTCCAGTTATTTTGAACCTTAAATTTCCAAATAAACTTTTACTGAGGCTTATTCATATGGAAATTTTTTATTCTCATTTTTTAAGTAATGCCTAATAAATACTTATTAATAACATATGAAAAGCTATTTTTTAATTTATAAAAAATCTTCACCAGAAGTTTAAAGATTCCCTCCCTTCAGAAAAGTAAATTTTTGCCTTCACGATTTTATCATCTGCTCTCATTTTGCATACAATTTATTTTGCAGATTTCAAAATTATGCATCATGTACATGTTCAGTACTTCTGAGTATGTCGACAATACACTAATATATATATATATATAAAACATGCTGTCAAAACAATTACAGAAATCTTAAACAACTCGAAAATTTACTGGAATATCAGATTTTTATTTTCTTTTATGTGTGTACCAAAGGTGACAATAAAAATGTTTCTGCAGCTGTTTTATGTGTGTGGTATGCAGGGGTGGTCATAGCCCAGCTCTTTCACAGGTGAGTGATGCAGCTCTTATGTACATAATACATGTATAAATATGGTAAACTAAAATTACACAGTACCCAAAAGAAAGTAAGGCAAACTGTCTCTGAACGATTATTTAGAGTCAGACATTTCTTTCCATTCAAATTCGTTTCAATACTTTTAAAATGATATAAATATAGACTTGTGGCTTTTGGAAAATCTAGCTGATGCCCTCGAACTTTCTTGAACTTTACTGGCTGTGACGAAACCTTCAGGAATTACAAATTTTATGCAAATAAATAAAAAGATGTTATCTTCTTAATGGCTAATTACCTCAACTAAACCTTAATGGTTTTCTTGTGGCATTCTGCAAATATATCCGAAATAATCCTCACTATTTTATTCTGGTCAAACTTTATGTCGGTAACAGCCACATGTTGAAATTCAAGAAAGTTCGAGTGCGTAAACTAAATTTTCCAAAGGGTACAAATCTATATTTACATCATTTTAAAAGATGATTACATCATCATCATTACATTACATGATTTGATGATTACTTCATCATAATGATGATTTACATCATCATTTTGAAAACAAATTCAAATGGAAAGAAAAGTCAGACTTTAAACTAAAATAATTAAATAATCATTCAGAAACAGTTTGCCTTACTTCCTTCTGGATATTGTGTAGTTTTAGTTTACCATATTTATACATATATATATTTTATTTGCGAGCTGAATCACTCGCCTGACAGAGCCACCCCTGCATACCACACTCATTTTTGGAACAACTTATTTTGTCTGATATTCTTACGAGTAGTTTCCTTTTCATTTCGTCAGTATTTGGTTAGAGTAAAATTAAAAGTTTGTTCATCATAATGAACATCTTTAGAGGCTAAGCATTTTAAAGACAGGGGATGAAAGAAAAGACAACTTTCCTGAATACTAAAAACATTTTAAGATGATATTCATACATTTCTTTGAATAAATTCCTGAATCTTCAACAAATTCAGCTGAGACATCTTTAGATTCTCCATTTATGATACAATATACTGATCTATAATGTAATTTTAATTTATACAGCCTTTCAGTGAAAAAAAAAAGTTGCCCTTCATGATGTTATTTCTTGTATTCTTTTTCACTAGTGTAAGCCCACACAAAGTGGTTTTCCTCAAACTCTTGTAGTTTCCCTTTTTCAGAAACATTTATTTTCAGTGTTGACATAAGATGTTCAGTTTCTTTTACAGTTAAAATACCACAACTTTTCTATGTGTCTTTCAGGGTGAATGTTCTTCATTTTCTAGACATTTTAAGTGCAAATTAAGCTTAAAGTAAACCCAGAGGTCAAATATCTGAGCTAGAATGAGCTTACCAAATGATAGAGGAAGAAAGCAACAATCAAACGTTTTTGGTAAACAGAATCCAGTGTTTGCTACATTCAACCTAACAGTACAAAGTCTGTAATCTGGATGTCCATTATGCGGAATGATCTATAATCCAGACCTCAAAGCCACAAACCTTTTTTTTTTTTTGTATGCTTTACGCATGCGTGTAATGCGTTTACGCATGCGCGTTTAATGTAGAACGGACAACAGCCGTGAATTTGAAGGTTTTTGTTCATCGCAAACTAAAGGTGAAATTTTCCAGTTATTGGATTTTGTAAAGAAATGTGGATAAGCAGTAATAAATGAAGATGATATAACAAAAGTTCTCATTTCAACGACAATGCCCCAATCATCAATCAATTAACGGATGGCGAAATCTGCAGTATGGTTCTAGATCCAGAAAATACCAGTTCCGATAGTGAAGAAAGTGACAGAGAGGTTATTGAAAACGAAAAAATTTCGATTGACAAGTTAGTCGGTATTCTCGACACAGCAATTACAGGACTTGAACAGTGGAACTTTGTAACTGAACAAGAAATTATGTCTGAATTATAGAATTAAAGAGAAGTATTAGCACAAAAAACAAAGCAACTTAAACAACTTACATTGAAAGAAATGTTTAATAAAGTAAACAAATAAATATTGAGCCTTTTTTTTTTTTTTTGGTAAATTTTGATACTTTTTAGATCATAATTGCTATTTATTTCATAAATTATGGTTTCATATTTTTAATTGTATAATATCTGCATGCCATCTTGCCAGATTTAAATCGATTATCTATAATAT